GCACTGGGATCGTAGTGCTGCATGATTTTGGCATGGGACCAGCATGCTCTTGGAACAGAAGCTTCCCACATGGGACAAGGAAAGTATGCAGTAGAACAGAGGTTGGGCTTTAAAGAAACCTGTATGCCCTCCTCCTCTGGAGAATGGTAGTTGCTGTGCTGTCATCCTGATCGAAACTGCCCTATTTACTACTTTCCCCTCACAGCAGTTGTCCAAATATGACTGTGCAGTCCAAAAGGCACCAGAATGAGACCCGGTGCTGATAAGAGGTGGAGAGAGAAGAGGAGAGAAGAATGGCAAAAAGATGAACAGTCACAGGGTATGGGCAGGACACAACCTCCAAGTGTTTCCTGCTGAGTGACAGGGCTGTGAAAACTCAGAGCTGGATGTACAAAAAAATCCCCCTAAAACAGTTCCCCTTTATGTATTGGAATGATTGGAATTTCGTATTTAGCGGTTTGCCTGGAGTTCACCTTTAACTGAGATACAATAATAAACAGGAAACATTCCTTCCTTTATAGTACTAAGGTCACAGACTATTATGTAAGTTTAATTAGGTCTAGTCTGCACCCTCAACACATAAAAATTCTCCAGCCATGTGCACTTGTCTTTCTGGTGCTACAGGTTCAGTGATTTATGAATGGACCCAGCTCACTAAGGGCAGGTTCACAACAGCTCTGGTGTGTTCCAGCAGGATTCGCTGCTGGAACGCACTGGAGCGCATCCCGACCAGCTTCCTGCATTGAGGGACGGAAGGGGGCATGGCGGTGCGTTGAAGTCAATGTCACCGCAGCCATGCACCCGCCTGCAGTGCGATCGCCCGCACCAGAACATGTGGCACATTAGTGCCTGCGTTCCAGTCCAGTGTGATCTAAAAAAAATGCTGCATGCACTATTTTTTCAGAGCGCACTAGACCAGAGCGCAGACACCAATGTGTCACGCATTCTAGTGCAGGTGATGGCACTGAAGTCAATGGCTCCACAGGTACCGCCCCTGAATGGAGGAAGCTGGCCGGGATGGGCTCCAGTGCATTCCAGCAGCGAATCCTGCTGCAACGCACTGGAGCTGGTGTGAACCGGCCCTGAGCGCTGATGAAGGTGTGTATATGGTAAGGGTAATTGGCTCTTGTCTAAATTGGCCCAAGTATGTGTGTGTAAGCAAGAGGGATACGGATCTCAAATTGTAAGCTCCTTGAGGGCAGGGACTGATGTGAATAAATATTGTGTAAAAGTGAAGGGATATAACCAGCACACCAATAGCATTCAAGTCCAAAGTGTTTGTTTATTGGAACATCATGTCACCAGAACTAGCGCTTTCGGGGCCACGCAGGGTCCCCTTCATCGTTATTGCTGAGCCTGATGAAGGGGACCCTGCGTGGCCCCCGAAAGCACTAGTTCTGGTGACATGATGTTCCAATAAAACAAACACTTTGGACTTGAATACTATTGGTGTGCTGGTGACATCCCTTCACTTTTTCATTGTTTGGCGGCGCCATCCGTGGTCACTGCGAGCAACCCCCCTTATTTCATTCGGGGCCTCCCGGTAAGGAGTGCGACAAGGTATCTATACGTCTGTTTAAATATTGTGTAAAGCGCAGCGTAAACCAACTGTGCCATATAAAGAAAAATACATGTATTAAATGATGAGCTGCTTGACATAATTTTGGGGGGAGGCTATAGATTGCATGTGATGCTGGATTTTAGAAGGCATGTACGCCACATTCCTCTTCAGATATGCTTACTTCACTACGGCGCGCATATAAAACAGAGTCTGCATTTCAAGGTTAGAAGCATATCTGGGTGTATAGTACTGGAAAGGAGACTGTACTTGTCAGCAAACTCTCTACCTCTCCAAACAGCTGATGACGAAGGAACCTGAGCTACGACCTGCTAAAGTTCCCAGTCAATGTAAACAGCCTGACGTGGAACTTTGGTGACATCCCCGGGTTAAGGGCCAAATCCTGCTAGCTGCCAACACCAGGTCAAAAGAGAGTTCCTCAATGACCAGTAAGGGCTTATTGGACACGGGAATTGCACATGGTGAGGCTTAGACATCCAGCCTCTGGTCCCATACCAAAACTGGTTCCAGAAAGACGCACAGAGGACAGTGTTATGGATAATAGAGGTAAAAGCAGGCAGCAGATATCTGCTCTTAGACAGGACTTTAAAGTGCAGTTCCACTTTCGCAGTCAAATTTGAGGAAACCCCCTCTATACAGGTTTATTTTTCTTACTTCTTAGATGTGTCTGTATAGCAGGACTTTGGAAAGCTTCGGTCTCAATTTCCAAGTGAAACGAAACTCTGTCTGTCCCCATAGAAAGGCTAAGGACAGACTGAGCTTCACCTCGCTAATATACAATGCTTCTAGATTTGTAACCCTTCGTTAGGACAGACATTGTTCAATTCTAGTTTGCAACTGATATCGAGATCTTCCAGAACAGTACAGACAGGGGTAAATATCTTAACATTAACCTGCCCAGCCCCCAGGAAAACTTAGTACAGAGAACAACTTTTCTTTCAGAATTGAGCATGTACTGTGCAAACTAGGGATGCACCGATACCAGTATTTTGGTATCGAGTACGAGTACCAATATTTTCTTTCGGAACTCACTGATAACGAATACAGATACCGGAAGTCCCATTAAGGAAGCCAGGTGACGTGTAATGACTCCCCACCTGGCTTCCTGATTAGCCGGGAAGCCGGGCGGCGTGTAAAGACTCGCCACCCGGCTTCCCGATTAGCAGGGAAGCCGTCACCAATCTTCCAGTCACTACGTGATGAGAAAGCATGGAGCCGGCTTTCTGGCCAATCTGGAAGCCGGGCGACGTGTAATGATTGGACGGGAAGCCGGCTCCATGCTCCCTCGCCAATCAGAAAGCCGGGCAGCGTGTGCTGACTCGCTGCCCGGCTTCTTGATACTGGAAGTATCGGGCTAGGCAACGGAGCATTTGGGGAGTACGAGTGCTCACCCAAATACTTGGCATCGGCACCGATACTAGTTTCGGTATCGGTGCATCCCTAGTGCAAAGAAAATAATTTGAAGTTATTCTATGTGAATGAGAAACATGTAACAAGTGTTAGTCGGAAGTCTGCTCCCCGCTGCATTCTGTGATTCCATCCATCAAATCCTACCTCACTGCTGTGTCCTGCAGTGGTACAGGGGCCAGTGGATGGTACCACAACACGCAGTGGGGTATCAGGAATTTGATACCCTGGAAGAATCGAATGCACTGCTGCTGATCTTTGGTCTCCTAAACTATGGCAGCGAAAAAAAAAAAAATATCTTCTGCTTCCAACACCTCCAGGTAAGTCAGATGCCTGGTCCCCCACCATGCTCTGTGTTTCCATGTGCCATACTTTGTGGTTCCATTCACCAGCTTCTACATCACTACTGTGTTCTGTAGCGACATAGTCGGCAGCGGATGATACTACAATACGCAGAGGGGGACCAGGCATCAGATACCCCTGGGAGAGTCAAATGCACTGCCGCCGATCTTTGCTCTCTTGAACGATTGCAGCTACAAAAATCTTCTTTGACACTTCCAGGTACCTTAGATGATTGGTCCCCCACCATGCTCTGTGTTTCCATGTGCCATACTCTGTGGTTCCATCCACCAGCTCCTACATCACTACTGTGTTCTGTAGTAACATAGTGATCAGTAGATGGTACCACAGTGCATAGCAGAAGGGAGTCAGGCATCCAATACCCCTGGAAGTGTCTGATGCCCTTCATCAGATCTTTGCTCTCTTGCAGACCTTTTGCATCTTACACTTCAAGGTGTGTAGAATGCCTGAGTCCCCGCTCTGGACGATGATCAGGTGACTCACCTGTCCAGGACCAGTATCTCGGGTGTCAGCAGGAAGCTGGGGAGGAGAGCCGCAAACGTCCGTTCACTGATCTCCTCCCTGTTCTATGGGACTGGGAGTGAAGCGAATTGCATTCCCTCCGGTCCCTGAGCTGTCAGTGCTGGGCTCCCGAAGTCCAGCAATAAGCTATTGAAATGCAATCTGCACTTAAATAGCTTATTTAAGTGTAAAGGTGACACTAGGTGTCTCTTGGACCCCCAGCATCACCTTAAAGAGGACCTGTCACCACCAATATGCTATCACATAGGGGCAGCCTACAAGCCCCCAATGTCATAGCAATTAAAGTTTTTTTTTAAAAAACACCTCAGTTTTAATAAAAATAATATTAAATAAATGTAAACACAATAATAAAACAAAATTTAAAGTCCCCAGCCCCCACGAGCACGCGCGTATTCACGTAAACACGCTTTGGGCGCACCCGATTACAAATGTTGGCTATCGCCGAGAACAATATTTGAAGTCCTGTCCCAATAATAACAATAATTTTAGGGCCAATATTTACGTGCATCTCTAAAATGATGACCTGTAGGGCTCTTAAAGCGTCAGCTGTAGACTTTTTGGGGTACGGAATTTTGTCGCCATTTCATAGACCCACAAAACTTTTAACCTGGGCGAGTTGGATATCTATTTACTCGTCATAACCTCATCTTTTATAGTTCACAAAAAAAAAAAGTATTATATTGTGTTTTGTGGCACGACATTAAACTTAAGTGCATTTTTTGCAAATAGCATGCAACATAAAAATGTGCAACTGCTGCCATTTAATTCTGCCGGGTCTTGGCTTTCAGAAAATATATCATGTTTGGGGGTTTGAAGTAATTTTCAGGCCTAAAATGTGGATTATAACATGTGTGCAAAAAACAAAAAAAAAGGCCTTGGCGGCGAAAGCGTCCTTAAGCGCTTAAACACTTACGATGGTGGACAGATTGACTTTAATGGCGAAGGCCGGTTTACAAGCGATCATGCCGTTATACAACAAAGTTCTGCAGATTCGGCTATAAATGATAACCGGCAGAGAAGTACAGACTATAAATAGGTAACAGGCTAGTTCTAGTATTCATAATTCTATCACCACCAGGTATTAGTGGATATTCTATTTGTCATTAAGAAACATACACTCTGCGGTACTCACCACATACTTGGCATGTACGTCGCGCACAATATTAGCCTCGGTCACCTCGAACGTCAACCTGATGGGCACGCTGTGACCTTCAGTATTCGCCCACATCTCTCTCAGTTGTTGTGTCAGAAGAGGGCGGGCTTTCGGCTCCTCCAGTGATTTCCCTTCTGCAAGAAAGAGAACGTCTAAATCAATTAATATATATAGACATTCAAAAAGAAGTTCTTCGCCTCATGTGCACAATCTGCATGAAGAGTGAAGGTGGAACAAATGACAAACCCTTAAATCGGCCAATCTGATTAAACAAGCTGCTTTAGCTTTCCCAAAGCTATGCAATGTAAAAGCCTTGCAGTGGCAGTCTCACAATGCCTCATGGCACTTATAGTTCAACAGCAGCCGAGGTTGCCTACCCGTGACGTACACACTCCATGCAGACAGTGTGCCTGGTGGGAAAGAACAGCTGTAAGGAAACTGCTACCCATTTGGTTGCCCTATTATTGTCAACTAGCAGAGAGGTTGGGCCACTCAAACTATTGCATTGTAGCAACTACAACTTGCATCAACGACTCCTTTCAAGTGGCATACATTGTGAATGTCATACCAACACACTGTATATTAGCGGGCAATGCACGCCATCATAACATACATGCCATGGGTTATGATGGACTGCATATTAAAAAAATAATAAAAGGGGTTGGGGGTTGTCACGTACATTGTTGTATGTGTGTCGTGGTGCAATGACAGCTCATTTAGTATACAAATCCAGCATAATGGAACCCTGTTATGAGAGGAACATGGAGGCTTCCGCTCCTGAACCTCTCCTTCTGCAAGATGCTAGTTACCTGGCTGTCATTCTTTCTTCAATACTTTAAGTCATTAAACCAGAACAAGTTTGCCGATAAGGGCTTCTGACCTTTCTAGCTGCATGTTCCTGGTGCAGTGGCTTAAATTGATGTACAGTACTCCAATAGATCATAACAACCAGGCAACTAGCACTTTCAGAAGGAAGCCAGCAATGGCAGCACCCATATTTCTCTCATGACAGGTTTACTTAAACTTTACCTCCAACCGAAACTAATAATCTTGCTTTGGATAGGAGTAGTGAAGGTTTAGAGCAGCCCTTCTCAGCCTTTTCAACATGGAGGAGCCCTTGATCTAACCTTCTGGTCTTAGGGAACCCTTGCTAAAAATCACTATATGTACAGCGCAAGGTACATTAGTGTGATGGTCAGTGGGAAGAATCTTCCTTACATATGTGGTCATTGGAAAAAATCTCCCCCTCTCCTAATAGATGGCTAAAAAGAGTGTTATCAGAGAGGCAGAAATGACTCAAGGAACCCCTAGTACCCCCTGGAGGAACCCTAGTTGAGGGCCTCTTTCAGGTTTTTATTGTCCAAGGCCTCCTTGGTAGGAATTCCCCTCACTTCCTGTCCCATTGACACCATTGTCACAAAGAAAATAAGTGAGGGAAAGTCCCCAATGGTGGCACAGGCAGGAAAAAAAAAAAAAAAAAGAAGGAGGACAGGGGTTCTAGCCTTCCACTAGTCTATGAAACATTGTTCAGAATTGTTGAGGATTTTCCCAATCCTCAACAAATCTAGCAGATGTCCTAACCCTTCCTCACTTTACCCACGTAAATTGGACTTCATTCATCCAAAGAGGTGAGCAGTGCTGGAACAGAAAGCTGTACCTCTGGAGGGGCCAGGACAGGGCCGCTACAGAGCAGGTGCAACCAAACATGCTATGCGGGCCAGCCACTTGTGTCTCATTAGCTGATGACATCATTGGGTGCTAGCGTGCTGGTGGCAGGACTGCTCAGCATTCTTGGTTGTTAAGGTGCCCCAACCATAATAACTGATCACATGGTTGGAAGTCGGCCATAATCCTCTGGCTGTTTTTTTTTTTACTTTTTGATGGCAGCCCTGATGAACCCATGGGCACCCTGGTTGGGAAAGGCTGGACTAAACTATGTGTATTGAGATGACATTTTCCCATCCAGTAATTCAGTACCTGTTCCATCGCTCCCTTCAGAGACCAGGCTGTCTTCACTGAAACTAAGGGTCCCGCTCAGCCGTACTGCCATGTCTGGATCATCCACCAACTCTGCAATCTCTGGCGGTTCCTCGGGTGGTCCTGGGCCCCTTTGATCTTTATGAGGGGAAGGACGGAGGCGCTGAAGAATCTTGGATGCCATCTACAATGAGATTTAA